AATAAGTTGTTTCATATTTGGCTTATGTTGTTTTTTATATGATTTAATTTGATGAATTTCATCTAAAATTTTACTTCGTAAATCTCGAATTTCAGTCAAAAGTTTATTATAATGTAATTGATGTTTATTTCGAATTGATTCATTTAATTCAATATGTTCACTAATAAATACAATTAAATATTGTTTTTTTAGTAAAAAAAGTATTATTTTTTGTTTTTCTATTGTATATTGTTGAAATTTTTTATTATGTAAATCAATAGTATATTGTATATTGTTGAATTTTTTTGAAATATTTAGTATTTGTTGTTGATCAAAAAGCCATTTATCATGAAGAGAATTGATATATTGAATTAAATGTAATCGTTGTTTGTCTATTGTTAATATTTGATCTAATAATATTGAATGATTTTTAATCGTACGAGAAATAGTTTGTTTTATCTGTTTGTAAATTGCTTGATTTGAATCGAAATTTTTTCTTATTCGTTCTAATTTCATATTTAATAAATTTTTACTATTATTAGAATTATTTTTCTTATTTCTATTGAAAGAACAAAACAAAAGAAAAATTATGAATGTTAAGAAAATTAATTACTGACTTTTGTTGTGTAAATAAATTCATTTCATTATAAAATATTAATATATTGGATTTTAATGATAATTTGATATGATCAAATTGTTGAAAAAAAATTCTTGTATTATTCATACATTGTTCTATTTTATTAATTCTATTAAATAATTTTAATATACGATTACGATTCATATTTATATGTATAATCCATTTATCATGTAACTTTTCATAATTTATCACTTTTTGTCGTTGTTTTTTAACAAGTAAAGCATATTGTTGTGTAGTATTTTCAAGAATATTTATCTGTTGTTTGAGATTCTGAGAAATAATTGAAAGTTGTAAACGATGATTAATTTCTTGACGAATATTTCTTTTAATATTATTTTTCGATTGATTAATATTTTCATATGTATAAAGTATAGTATGTTGAAGATATTGATCACGTTCATGTTCAAGTTCAGTAATTTGATTCTAGGAAAGATAAATGTTAATTTTTGTGTTTTATTAATAATATTTGTTTTTCTTTTCTCACGTTCAATCTGTCTAGTTGGTGATGATGTACAGATAAAATATATTCTTTTCTTTTTAATTCAATTTTAAGTTCAGTTAAGATCTGAAAAATTTCCTTTTTTATATTTTTTTCTTTTTCAATTTGTTTTTGTTTTCTATGAATTATTTCGATGAAATTTTCATGATTTATATTCAATTGTATTTTTTTGTTTTCATTCATTTTTAGAATCTTTATATGATATAAAATGATATTATGTAACTTTTTGTTTTGTTTTTGTAATTCTATTGATAAATGTTGCTGATTATTTAATTGTTCTTTAATTAATTGATGATCAATATTTAAATAATCTTGATCAATTGAAATGGAAATGTTTAGTTTATATTGAAGCAGTTTATTTAATTGATTGTCTTGCTCATGAGTTGCTTGAAGATTGAGTGTTAACTGGTGTTCAATATCAATTAATTCTTCTTCAGCTTTATGAATTTTTTGTTGAATATAATAGACTTGCATTTGCATTGAAACAACAGTAGCTTTTTTGTTATTAAGTTCTTTTTCAAAAGTATTTCCTACAACACTTTTATGCAAAGTTGAACTATGATAATTGAATTTAAGTCCTAATCATGTTACACGTACGTGTTATTTGAAGATTTTTTATGAGTAATTTTAGATCATCAATTGTTTTCATCATTGATTTTAAAGATGTTGATGAAGAAACATTTGTAACAATAGTTTTCATACTACTTTCTGAATTTTTATTTTGAATTCTATTGTTTAAATTATTCATTATTTGTTCAATCTTTTTTAAGTTGTTCTGTTTTCTATTATATTTAGTGTAAAGATCGGTTAAGACTTGATAACATCGTTGAAATATATTATGAATTTGATAGATGATCTCTTTTTGATGTGAAGCTATTTCCTTATCAAGACTATGTACAATTTTACGTGTCCGTTTTTCTTCCAACATGAGAACTCGTTCATTAGTCATCGAACAATCAAAATATCGATAGAGTGATGTCCAATATTTATAACAGCGATCTTGCATAGCTTCATCATGAATTTCCGAGAGAGCATTAAGGAAATTTGTATAACGTACATCCACTGGTACAATATAATCATCATGAACAATTGATGATAATTCATTTGTTCCAGACATAATAGTATTAAAGTCTTACAAAGAATAATATTAATATTCTTAGTAACTATATATGAATACAAGTTATTAAAGGATACGCGCACAGTATTTATAATAATATAATTGTTAGTTAAACATTTCTGCCTGTTGTTTTTCTTTTCTTTCAAATATATAGAAATCTTCTAATAACTTACGATTATAACTTAGCAGCCAATGTCATTGTCTGGTGACATTGTTATCACCAATATATACATCACACTATCTATGGAATTAGATCTAATCAAATAATTTTACTTAGAATTGAAAACAAACACATATTAAAAGACAAAGAACGATTGTAAAATTAAACTTAAGATTCTCTTTTTCTTATTTCATAAAGCTTTTTAAATAATTATATTCACTTTCACAGAAAACATCGTTGATCTTGTATCGTTCGATACAATTAAAGAAAAACATATCGAACAACAAGAAAAGATTATTTATAAGAATGTAATGAGTCATTTAAATATAAAATATAAAAACGAACTCAATAACACAAAAAGAGCGTTGGGTGGATTGTGGATGTGGATATTCACTTCAACACTGCCGAAACCCACACCCATCCACAACATCGTCCATGAATAATTACGAATTTTATTATGTAAAATTTCTGTTATTTAAATTAATACGTACAATGTCGTCCACAAAAAATATAAATTGTATTATATAGATTATTTTAAAATTTAATGTAAATAACGTCGTTCATCAGAAAAATACATTTTACTAAATAAAATTTTTTTTTAATATGTGTTTGTAACAATCTTAAAAGATCTTATGGATATATTATTTGGTCGGAGACAAAAAAGTGGTCCAAAAGTAGGAGTAACCGGTAGAAAAACGATGTATTTACTAACGTACACGACCATTGACCTCGCTATAGACAGTACGGGCAAATACGACCACCTTACTGCCCGTGTTAACATGGGGTAATACGGCGCCGTAACGGGCCGTGTTTCCATCGTAAACGACAGTAAACGATATCGTAACGGTCTCCGTTTTGACCGATCTGGGTACTGGCATCAATCTGTTTCTTTCTTAATATTTCTTCTACATAAACGTACGTTGTAAAAATACTGATGGAAATTTTCAGGCACAAAGCAAGGACAATCTGTTGTTGTTGGCATCATATAGATGAAGGTGTAAACCGATGAAAGAAACAAAATTTTTCTTTTCCTGCTATTGATAGAATTTAATAAGTAAAAACAGTTGGTCCCTCTTTCTTTAACATAAATTGATTCTTCTTTTAAAGCTATATTTTTAATGTTTCGTAGAAGCAACAGATAAGTTTCGTGACGCTATTTTAAAAATTGTATTATTTGTTTCATTTGAAATAAATAAAAAACGTTTAGATAATTAGGATATGCAAAAAAAAGCAGTGACACACCTATTCACTCGCTCACTGCAAGTCACTTTTGTCGTTCTATCACTACCGACTGTTAACTATGCAAGAAAAAATTGCTTTGTTTTGTTCTATCTATTATTTACACGCGAAAACCAAATTTTTAGTTGCATGGATAATAGTCCATAGGGACAAAGTGACAAAAGTGACTCGCAGTAAATGAGTGAATGTGTGTGTCACTGCTATGTTCCCCATTCCTAATCTTTATTAAATTTTCAATTTAAGAATAAAATAATATTAATAAAATAAATTCTATTTCTTGTTATATATTTTAGAGTGAATACAACGAAATCTCATGGCGACTTCTAATATTGAATCATCAGAAAGTGTCTCGCCATCATATATAACGGTAAATTTCGATGTTAGCGCCGATTTTAAAATGGTATGTCTGGACGTGGATATTAATAACTATGCTGATTTTTATAATGTGGAAGAAAACAATGTTGATAATATTTCTAATCATCTTCAGTCATTTACCAATATCGATTCATGTACTCAATATTGAACGTCCAATTGGTTTTATCGTATTTTCTTCATCGTATCTAATAAATTTGCATCTAATATATCATCAAAAATGAAAAATATGGATCATATTCTTTCGGTATTCATTAGTTGTGAGAATATCATATCAGAAGACTTAAAAACTCTTTATCTTGAAAAGTGTCGTGGTATATTTACCAAAAAACAATACTTCATGACAGATATAATGGAACATATATTTTTGAAAACTTCGATTTTCTCGATTAACAATGTTTTTCAAGAGGTCAAAAAAGAAAAAGGGTCACTAATTCCTTCGATAGATACAGACACATTTAGTGTTCTAATTGACATTAATACAGCAGCACGTTCTTATTATGAAGATTATTCAATATCATTTGACAAACAACAGATGTTTAGAGAATATCGTTTATATTATCGGGATAATAAACAAATTATGGAACAAATCGATCTGTTTTCAGAAAAATATTATTCCGAAGAAGCCATTAAATGGTATTCAAACGATTCATTTCTTTATAGAATAGTTAATTGAGCTCTTCGCACTCGATTAACTGAAGTTATTGACAAGTTTTGCTTCTTTGTTAAAGATTTGGAAGAATCACTTGATTTGCACTTCGCAAAACAAATATTTGATCAATGGTTTTCTTCTTGTTCACCAGATAATAAACTTCTTAATGTCTACTGTGGTCAAGTACTTTCTCATTCTGATGTGGAACAACTACGATCATTTGTTGGACAAAACATTATAATGAGCCAGTAGATATCGACAACAAAAAATATTAAAGTATCCGAACCATTTTCGTGTGAGGAACAAGTTGATCAAGGATATGAATCAGTTCTCTATAATATTGATATGAGTGTCATCTATGAAAATTATATCGACAAACCGGATCCATCTATCTTTTATTATGACATGAGTCATATCAGCAATTTTCCAAACGAGGAAGAAGTTTTGCTTCGGATTGGAACTACTTTTAAAGTAGTAAGCGTTGAAAAATTATTCGATAATATATGGCATGTTATGTTACGTCTTGAAAAAGTTAATGATGATCGGGCAAAAAACATAGTTCATCGAACACCAATTGAAATTGTTCAATATTTTTTCCGCAAAGCAAGTCAAAAACAAAAAACTAATGTGAAAAATATTATTAGTGAACGTTTGTCTTCAAATACTATAGTCAGTATGAGTGTTTTTATTCGTCTTGGTCATTTATTTAAACATCATCCTCGAGAACAACATCAGTATTATCAATCTGCATTGTCACTTATACTTTCGAATGAATCAACTCTTTTAGAAGTTGGTTATTTGGCTATTAGAATGTGATGTATTTCAAGTGTTAAAGATTGGATATTAATATCCTTGAATATTTCTCGACAGACAGTGCTTCACGTTGATGGTAATTTTAGAAGACAATTACATTGTGAACTTGTTCGTATTGATGAAGCACGTGGAGATTTTTTTTTCCAGCTATGATACATTACCATGCAAGCTTCACTTATCAAAAGACTTTTCTTTTGCTGATTTATTACCTCATATCCATCTTAATGAAGATATTCAATTGTTAAATGATTTTTTTAACAATGTCAAAGTAAATCCAACCGATCTTTCAGTTGAGCATATATTCATCAAGACTTTGACAGATAAACCGTTAACATTAACTTTAGAAAAAAAATATGACAGTTCGTCGATTGAAGAAAATGATTCGTCATAGTTTTGTCATGCCATATTCAGAAAAATATGATTTTCATCTTATTCATTTGGTAATAAGTCTCATCGATGAACAAAAGTCACTTGATGATTATCAAATAAACGATCAATCTGTTATTTATTTAATTCATGGCCCACGCATACAACAAGACGAATATATGAATCGATACAAGCAATGTTTATATGAAAATATTGCTCTAACTGGAAGCGATATCATTCGGACACTTACTGTCAAGAAATTGAGAGGAAGAAGAATGCAGACCAATCTTCAAAAAGAGATGGACACTGCCATAAACCTTCGTCGCAATATGTATCGGAATGGACAGGTGAATGCTGAAACAGCAAATAGTGCATTTCACCAATTCTTTCAAGAAAAACTTGTCTTGAGCCAATATGACGATGATGATGATGCAGATCCTGATCATTTATTAGATATATCGGATTCTTTTACTGACGAATGCATACAAAACCTCGAATTACTATGTTTGGCTTTTCATGATCAGACGAATATTGAAGAAAATGATTGTGATGAAAATGGAATTAATCAAGCTGAACAACTAGCGAATGACACTCTCTTATGTATCGATGAAACATTATTTCTATCAAATTGCATATCCTCTTTAATAAATATCTTATCATATTAAATTCAATGAACTATTATTATAACTTTAGGCTCTCAACAACAAATTATTAATAAACAAAGGAATTTGATATTTTCAGTTTTTCTTTGGTTCGATCCCTTTTCCAAATTTTTATTTTCTTCTAATAAAATTTCTTAACCTCAATCTCATAGAAAACATTAATTACTTTAAAATCCCATATTATGACAAAGAGAGTGTGAGTGATGTGAGTCTCAGCAGCTACTTGGACTTATTTTATCGAGATTTATTGGAAGTTTTCAATAAATCTCTAAGCATTTTGAGATAAATTCCATATGATTTCTCAATACATACAAGGTGTAGATGAATATGTGGGTATAAGTGAGGTTGTGGGTGTTAATGTGCTGAAATATAATCATAGTTAATAAATCCTCAATAAATAAATAAACCCCACAGAAAAGATAAATCCCTAAAAAAATAAATCCTGGGAGCCCCTGATGGATGTAGGTGTATTCATTTCAGCCACATCCACACCCATCCCACGAGTAGGTACTTATTTACAGTAGAAAAAGATAAACATAATCGCACTACAGAAAAACCATTCATATTTCATGGTTTCAATAGTTGAAGTAAAGCGATATCCTTGATCTAGGTCGCTGGTTGTGAAATTTCGGTGCTATAAGAATGTCCCTACAGTAAGCATTTAATTAACTTTTAGTTGATAGTTGGATCAAGTCAGGACAATAATTTGAGAAGCAGAACCGCCATATTACACAGTGTGCTGTCTTAGTTTTTTATTTACTTGATAAAATGAAGCTACCGTGAAAAACATGTGCCATTCATTAAGAGAAATACAACTCAACCGCAAGTTTTCGAACCTGCTATTTCTCCATCTACAATTTTTGTGATTGTTGTTGTATTGCTAGAACAAAAACACATACAACACTTAGATTACAAATATATGTTACCTAATGACTCTGTTTCAAAGTATTTAGAAGAAAGAATAGTAAAAGTAATGGCAACATGGTAGGTATAATATAGAGAAGGCAACAAAAGAAATATTTTGCAAAAACCGTAAGTTGTCATTTTCTTCAAGTAATTTTATATATTACCTTGTTACCAGCATTGATGATTTAAGAATAACCATTTATTCGAACAGAAGAGTGCTTTATTCCTTACTCTATCACCTCACATGACAGAAATGATTAGTTATTGTACATAAATGATTTTTCTTTTACTTTGAATAGCATGTCTTACAAAATATGTTACATTATCATTGGTAAAAAGTCGAATAAAACGAGATTATATATATTGATTATAACTATCCTGACATCAAAGATATTTTCGTCTATGAATTTGTTTGACTGAAACATGGTTTAAGAAAAATTCTCTATGCATGCTAAATTACATTCCGTCATATCGAATAATAACGAATGCATGATAAGGGTAGTTTTGTAGAAATATGTGTATGTACATTATGTAACACTACTTAAATTAAGTGAATCATGGGTCATCTAACTGATGTTCAACGATTTTGTTTTAAGGTGTTCAAATAAGGAAAACCTGTTCATGCTTCTGCTTTTCTATTGATAATCTTTCAATCAATTTATAATTCTAATCATAACAATTTTAATTTTTCCGATCTATCGTTGTCGATTTGTACAGTTTTCTACTACCAAAAGTAATGAATAGATGTTATAAAATCGGAATGAATATGCTATTATAATCGTCACATATTCATTTAGTTACGCTGAATGATTCTAAGGTGTAGTTCTTTGTTAATCAGTATAATTATTTGTGATAAACAATTCTTCTGAAAGCCTGGTTCGCAGTTTCTACGCAATATATATATGTATTTCAGAAACAATATTGAAAATTTTATATTTATCTAATTTTATTCGAATCGCGTTATTCGATGAGAAACGAGGATAAAAATACAAGAGAAAATAAGGCATCTTAAAAGGGAGTTTAAGTTTAAAAATAAGAATTCATATAAAAAAAAATCACATCGTCCATGAACGAACTAGTAAAAAAGAAATTAGTTCAACAACAATAAATAAATGAGCAGTAGACATTGAAATAGTGTTTGCATGCGGTTCCATCGCAAGCCAATAAGAATCATTTGTATAGGATTTTATCCAATCTTTGTAAATAGCTACACGAGTATAAAGACCAGCATAGAATGGTCGTGCACATCCAATACCATTACTTACTAGACCAACTAATACCCATTGATTACTTGATGCAAACATCATCAATGGACCGCCAGAATCACCATCACATGCATCTATAAAAAGTATGGCAACAAGTTAAATTATAATAACACAAAACAAGTAAAAAATTACCTTTGGTATGTCCAGGAACGCCAGCACAGAATTGTGTGTTTTTATCCTCTATCAATGATGCACAAGTTGGTGCTAGATAGGCTATTGTTTGCAAGGTAACCTGTTGAAGATTTGTTGACAAAGAACCACCTTCAGACAGTCTACCCCATCCGACTACAACAACCTATGAAAAGAAATGGATTAATAACTATCGAAGAGAAGAAGAAACTTACAGTCGTATTAACCACTGGCCATTCATCTGATGCCAAGGTCAGTGAACTGACGAGTGGCATGCAAATTCTACTCACGTGATCATCACTCATATTAAGGGGAGAAGTAAGTTTTAATAGAGCAATATCATTGACATAATTGCTACTGTTATAATGGGGATGTAGAATAATCTCTGACACCGTTCGATTTTGAGTACCGAACAATCGATTATTCGATCCTGCATAAATAATAACTGACGAAGCAAACCGATTATCTACACAATGTGCTGCTGTGATGACCCATGAATTTGACATTATTGATCCACCACATATGGGACCATCAGAAATAAGAATTGATACAGCCCAACTCCAAGTTGATATGCCAGCGTCTTCTCCACCCACAATACGGCTAATTGAGACTGGATTCGATGAACATCCACAAGTGGCGCTTGAATTGCATGTATACACTACTTGATCAGTTGGTTGAACAATCATAAGTAATAATATAATCCAAAAGAATGTCATGACCTTGATTTTGATTTATTTTATCGCGTAACTGAATCTAGTCGTTGAAATGACAAATGTAAGTTTCATATAAATGAATATTAATAATAGAGTGATGTATCTACATATATATTCCGTTTTCTGTCTCATTCATACTTTTTTCTCTACACATCATAAGTACCGTCATGATTATTGAATTGCGTAGTTTCATACTAATGTAGTTATTCCTCACAGTTGTCAAGAGAAACCATAAGGAATAAAATAAACTCTTTTATTCATTTTATCCTAATTGGTTCTTTTCAATCTGATGATGCATTCATAAAAGAACTAAAAAAAATAATGTCTCGATCAATTATACAACTCAGCTTTCGTCAACATAGAGTATTTGGGTTATTTTTTTAAGTATTCAATTGTAAACTTACTTCGATTACGAAAACAATCTCGGTTCAAAATGAAGCTTAGAAGCACTTTATATATGTGTTTTGCAAATTATAACAAACAAGAGCTTTACAAAAATATTTATTTGGGCTTCATTGGCAATTATTTGAAAAAGTGGGTAAGAGATGCGAAAAATATACTGAGTTTATTAGATTAATCTCTAAATATTGTGGCTTTTTTTGATCAATTGTCTTCTGAAGTATTCTCGAAAACTATAACTGACTTTTTTTTTTTATGAACAATATATTTCTTATGTAAAGTGTATACTTTTGTTTATACGACAGTGAGATTTTCATATCGTTTATAAAAATGAAGTATTGACAGTGTTTGCATCGCAGATGTGAAGAAAATAAATTGAGATCATCGTTACGAAGTTCACAGGATGATCGAGATAAGGTCCATGCTTACATTGATTAGAATTACAATGTTTTTATGTCAGTTTTGTTTCAGTAAAATAGATATGTGAACACCATATCATTTTTTTACAGGTATTATTTGTATGTTTCTTCGACGATTAATTTTCATTTCACAGATTCCATATTAGTTAAAGATAAACATCTAAGCATGCTAAAGAAAAGATGATGTTTAGTTAATAATTTCATTTATATTTATATTAAAATAATAAATACTTGAATTTGATACTGCGTAGAATTGAAACCATATTATCGATAAATTCATCTACTTTATAATTTGTTAGCAACTGAAACGAGTGACGTATATAAATTTTTTTCACAAATATACTTTGAAATACGTGAATCATGGAAAAATGAAGTTTAGAAGTTCACATAAATAAAGGATAAGAAAATGATGATGCTTAGTAATTTCAGATAGTTTATAACGAAAGAGTGCGAAAGTAGCAGCAATATCATTTTGTAATCATCAGTTCAATAGTTAGGAATAATACTGTTCAAGACACAGATTATGATGAAAGATAGTAAAAAATTGATTGACCAGTTCTTTTTTCAATAATTTTAAGCTTGTATACTCGAGCTCGCTTTCAAAACTATCCATAATTTTGCATACTGTTTGAAAGCAACAAACAACGGCCATATCTGATAGCTATGCCATTTTTTTTTCTGAGTGAAATTGTTGAGAGCAAGTTTACGTACTCCTGTCAAAATAATCATCAAGTGTTGGTAAAAAGAATCATGCTTTAGTTTTGTCTATTCGTCTACACTGTTTCATCTCTTCATTCGAAGTATATTTCATTTTTTAAAACAGTGCAACAAAATTGTGCTACTTGAGCTAAATTTATCTCGTACATGTTTTATTAAAGAACAAATTCAAATTTGGATTCTCGTTCAAAGAGAAACGTTAATTTTGGTCTGTAAAGATAAAGTGGGATAATTCAAAATTTGAAATGTATCATTCAGTTGATGGGTAAATGACTTTTTTCGTGTTATATATAAACATCTCACGTATTTATTTCGGAGAAATCAAACAAATACAAACGATTAGAACATGATATTTCTTCCTGAAAGTTTGTAAAAATATGAGCGAAAAAAAGAATATGAATCAGTTTTGAAGCTATTTACAATAACCGATTAATGATGATTCAACAAATCGACATCTTTTGGCTAGTTTCCATTATCCAAAAAAGATTCTTTTGGACTACCCACGAAAAAAAATTTGGGTGTGGCTATGGGTGTGGGGTGTGAGTACGGGCATGGCAGATACACCCACACCCACTCACACTCACACCCACACCCACACCCACCCACACCCACACCCTTTGTTGCATGATGATGATGAAAAACTATTATAACTTGTATGTTGTAGTTGTGAGGGGTAAGTCATATTTTAATAGTTTATATGATAGAGAATAGAATATATCAAATATGAAATCGTTACTTTTTATTTCATGGTATTAATATTCTACATCTATAATAGTACAAATGAACTACTTAGTAGTTTGTTTCAATGAGACTTTATCCAAGGAATCAAATGACATTTTTCATACGATGTATTATGATATTCTCTAGAAGATCATAATGACAAAAACTTCATTTTCATTCATAGTAAGACAATAGTTCTATAGAAATCTTAACTTTGTTTAAGTTTTTTAATGAATTTGTCTTACTGCAAAAATCATGCTTATTTTCGTCTAATCTGCAACTTAGATTGAATCATATGTATTGTTCTTTGAAATAAAATCAAGTTCTTCCTATTGACTTTCTAAACAGAACTCATCCATTAGTAATTTTAAGCATCATATGTTCAATCTTTAACAAGCAACATAATTGACATTTCCTATATAATTTTAGTGGGCAAATTATTTTGCTACAAAATGAGTTTATTTGATTTATTCTTCATTGGTATATGATAGTTTTACATTAATCTTTGTACAACATGTTGGTCCAATTTTCAATTATTTATAGATATCATCGGAGAGAATGATAAACAATCAGCTATATTAAAAATGACATGCTCTTTTTTTCTAAATATTTTATTTATGATGAACTCTTCGAGAGTAAATATTTCATGAGATCAATAATAACAACTATAAAGATTGTATTTTCTAACTTATTGCTGTGTTTCGATTAAAAGTAATTGAGACTAAGCTATAAAGAAATACTTTGATACACTAGTTTCTAGAGTATATTTTACTTAAAAAAATATCTAAATTGGTTCTCTTTTTACATATTACTACGAAAACTCATTATTCTACATAACGAATGAATGAGTTAACATTGTTTTTTTTTATTCGAATGTATTAATCTTGAATTACTGAATAGAAAAAGAACATAAAAACAATCAAAAATGACAAATGATTTTATGGATCATGTTGAAATAAGAAATGTCAAATATGAAGAACTTGAACAATTTTAGAATATACAACAAGAATATTTAGATAATTGGACATTCACCTATTTACAAAATCAATTTAATCAATATTCATCACTATTTGTAGCTGCTTTTATTAATGATACTATGTGTGGTGTTGCCTATGGATGTGAATATGACGAAATAACAATTCTATTGCAAGGTATTTGTGTATTATATAAATATTGGAGACATGAAATAGGAAGTGGATTATTAAAATTTTTTGAAACAAAAGTCAATAAAACAAAAATTACAGTGAGAGTAGCTTCTGATAATGTCATAGAAAAGTTTTATCTTAAAAATAAATATAAACCAAATCAATTTCTTATTCGAATTAAACATAATCAAACAAATGAAACAATCATATTATATATTGAAACATTAGAATATAATAATGAATTAAAAGATAATATTAAAAAACTCTTTCATTCATATGAAACAATTTATATTATGGAAAAGATAATTTCATCCAATGTGTAATCAATCATAAAGAGAAAAGTCTATTAACGTAAACTATGCAAAATAAAATTGTGAAATACTTATAGTCTGCGAAATATGCTTCAGTTTAGGACTTCCGATGTACTCATAGGTTCGTGATGAAAGATGGTTTATATTATACATGGCAGTGAACTTGGAAAGGCAGCCAAAGATATACAGGGTGGTCCAAAAGTTACCGGCCAGTCTTAAATTGCGAATAACTTTTGATAGGAACAAGATCTAGACCTACGGTTTTCACCATTCGAAAGAGTGATGTTTGCACCATCGATCTATATAATATTCACTAAGACGAAAGATCTCAGGGCGAACTCACCCTGCCGGATCCTATCGGATCCGTGATTATCCGACACTTTCCGACAGTCGGATCCGATGGGATTCCGACAATCGGAAACCTTTATTATCCGTTAATTTCCGACGTCGGATTCTGTCGGACTCCGGCGACAAGATCCGATGGTCAGAAATTGTCGTATTCGATGAAAACCGATGACATCCGATAGGTGAAAATCGTCGGATCCGATGAAATCCGATGACATGAAAGGGTGTGGGTGTGGTTGAAAACGACACCTGCACCCACACCCACGCTTGGAACACGTTCCTAGTCGAATATGGGAAGGTTTTAGTGACCATACGCATAGTGATAAGGTACTATTTTGGGATTTTCTCACCAGCTGTTTGAATTACGATTGATCCAAGATCGTCATTAGATAGAGCTCGTCGAGTTGTACTTGGAACCGGACTGGAACACTTGGAACACGCTCCTGGACGAATAAGGGAAGGTTTTAGTAAGTAAGTTTGCCTTTTCCATAGAAAAAGAGCAGTATTTTGGATTTTTCTCACGTTTGGTTTGGGCTATGGAAAATCCAACGTTGTCATTAGATAGAGCTCGTCGAGTTGTACTTGGAACCGGATTGGAACACTTGGAACACGTTACTGGACGAATATGGGAAGGTTTTACTCGAATATGGTGCTATCTTCACCTACGTGTCCATTGCTCTGTATATATGTTTCTGTTCCTCTACCAGTAAAATAATGTCAAATATCTCCATTTTCACCTGCTTCATAATAGATTTTAGCAGATTGTTTAAAAAGAGCAGATATTTTTCTTACTCCTGAAGAATTTATTATTTCTTTTTCGTCAGTATCTGAATTGTAAACAGTTATTTTTCTTCTTTTACGATCTGCTAACATTTTTATATCAGCTATACCTAAAGCTCTATCTTTATCTTTTGCTTCTCTCAAATAACTTGCAGTAATTTGTTTTGGATTTCTAATATTATTTTGTAGATCTTCTCTTTTCGCTCGATCTTGTTGTTATTTTTTTGAATCTTGATTTATTGGAGATTGTTCAACAGCAATTTGACTTTCTGCATAATTTTGTCTATTTTGATTCGATTGTTTCAATATACTAGCTGGATTTTTTTTCCATTACATTGTGAATCAACCATTGTCGTTATTCCTTGTACAATGGTTTTTCCAATCTGTTTTAATGTTCCATTAATAGCTTGTCTTACTACTGTATCTAATTCTTTTGTTAATTTAGTTGATATATCTATTCTCTAATGATTCTATTCAATTGTTCTGCTCTTGTTTCGACAAGGTTCTGATTAATGTTTTTTCTATAAATATTCTGATTTTCTTTGGTAGTACCTTCAATAATATCTTTTAAAGTATTATAAAGACATGTTCGAACTGTAAGACAGATTGAACTACAGTCCACAACTTATTAATGATATCTATTGCTTTAAGAGTAGTAGCAGCTATTTTAACGTATTTTGAATTTGATTTTTTTAGACCATCAGCAAATAGATGATAACTATTTCTTAAAGAAGAGACAACTCGTGTTCGAATATTATCAAATTGTTGAGGTAATAAAATATCTTTTCCTAATGTTTTTTCTAATATGTTTTTTCAATTCTTCAAAAGATTTTTCGAACTCATCTTCATTTTTACTTTGAAGATAAAGAGGTTTCTATTTTATTATTTATTAAACCGATTATTCCCTTTAATAAATTTTCTTCTATTTTACTAACAATCTTTTGTATAACATTTTCTTGAATCTGTTCCATAATTTTATCCGTCAAAAACTTTCCAATTCCAGCAGTCAACATAGAGAGACCGAAGCTAATTGCTTTTTGTATTGCCCATTCTTTCCAACTAAAAATACCTGATATTAAAGCATTGCCTATCTGAGTCAAACCAAAGGCTACTAAAACAGCTCCAGCAATGACTTGAACAAGTCCTATCATTGCAACGGCAAAAGCATTCCAATCCCACCAAGATTTATCTTCTTCAATAATCAAAAATTTATTAAGATTAAAACGTTCAAAAAAATCTTAATTCACTTGGAACATTTTCTTGATCTTGAAGATTTATAAAATCTTTTAAATTAGCTTTTAAATCTTTTTTAAATGAACGAATATCTCCTTGTAAAGACAAAATTTTCGACCAAATTAATTCTTTATCATTTTCAAATTGAATATTTTTTAAAATTCTTTCAATATTTCTTTTAATATCTACATATTTATATTTAGCAAGTCCACCAGACTTTAAAATATTTTTTTCTTTTAGATAAATTCGAATATTATTTCCTTCTTCTTCTTTAATAGTAAATGGTAAATCTGTTTGATAAAAATATTGATTTTGTTGACTAATATTATCTTTTAATTCTATTAAAAATGTTTTAAGATCTTTTGTTTCATGACCATTATCATTAAATTTAATTTTCGCATAGTTTTCTTTCTATTGATTGTTCAAATAGAGAAATATTAACTTGTTATGGATCTATTTTATCTTCTAAATCTTTCCAAGCATTTTCATATATCCGTGATAATTCTTTTTCTATTCTATTTATATTTAAAATTTGCCATAATTCTTCACTATAACAAACAATATCGTCGAAATCTTTTTTTTTTCAAAATAAGATTTACTATTTAATAAACTAATTAATGGATCGGCAATCGAAGGATCAAGATCATTCCGAATTATCTTTTCTATTTTATCTCGTTCTTGTGAATTATTTCGAAATATTTTTCTTATTGTATCTCTTTGAATAATTTCAAATTGAACTAAAACTGAATATAATTCTTTTCCTTTATCTTGTTCTTCACGAATTAAATTTTGTTCATCTTTTGGATGTAAAATAAAATGAAATAGTTCTATTGTATCTCCAACAGCTTCTAATTTTCCTGTTATTTGATCTTGATAAAAATTTTCTTTTGAAGAAATTTTTTTGAAGGGTATGGGTGTGTGAATGTGGGTAGGGGTCTTCTCTTTATCTACACCCACACCAAAATTTGAACTTAGCTCTACACTATTAGAGAACCTAAAGAGAAATCTCTGATCAAAATGCACTTTTTCCTGGAAACGAACTTTCTTCAAAATAAAAGGCAAAGCAACCAGACTATTTAATTTAAATTGATTACAATAGCTGATTTTCCACATTAATCGTTTGAATAAGAAAACAATTATTAATGCCTTCATTCAATTTACTGATTTAATCAAATAAATAACAGACACAACAGATATACAAAGAGGTTAATACAAAAAAAAATCATATTGGATTTCTTCATATGAAAATACTGGCAAAGAGTTCGTTTGTCTTGATATTAAAATTCAAAAATTATTTTTCTCTTATGCAACCATGATCATATGATGCCTGATCTGGTGTACCTAATCATACTAATTGAATCTTGCGATCAGGAGTTCATATGAGTAAGATTTCTGGACTAATGATTATTTGAATTGAACTGAGGTCATTTGAAAAAAGAAACATAAATTAAATTTGAATAAATATTAGAACATAAAGAAAATTGTTTATGAATCTTATCAAAAGACTCATTGTTTAATACGTTACAATCGGGAGAAGTTACTTGATATTTTAAACAAAAAACTTTACACAAATATTCTTTAAGCATCAACATCAATCTGAATTCTATCATATATATCGAATATAAATATGTCAATAAGTCTTTTATTATAAGCCTTTTTATTGATAGAAACTTCTCATAAAAGTAACGAGAAGGATATCATTTCATAGGGGGACATTTGCAATTTTCTTTAAATATCATTTAGATCAAATTTTTCTTCTACTTTTCAAAGATTCACTTATACTTCTTAACATATGGTTCTTACGAAAATTCTTTTTCACGCATAGAACGTTAACACATCGTTATCAAAATTTTTTCATTGAAAGTCTAATGAGAAAAGAAATATATGGTTGATTAATTAATTGATTTATTATTATTGAGATTTCTTTTACAAAATCAAATATTTGATCTATATATAATTTGTTTTCTAAAAAAAGCAGAGACACTTTTGAGTCAACGAAATTAACATACTTCGAGTATAACAAAATGTTTTCATATTATTGTCAACATATAACAAACTAATTGAAATTATAAGAATTAAATAAATAAATATAAAGCATAAATAAAGATACCTCATATTCAGATCAATTTTATTAACTAATAATCTTAGTAATTTCCTTTTATACATTATATTATTATTTCTTTAGTTCAATTATGCATTGTAGCAAGCTCTCTTTAAATGAAATGTCTTGCTTGTACATTTTCTCATCTATTATTTACTCATGTTTGTTCACTTTTTTGGAAAGAAAAACAAAATAAATATCACAATAAAAGTGTCTCTTTTACAAACACTCGATAACTACATCAGTTCATTGCATAACGAAATCGGCAAAAAAATACCAATTGAACAATGTCTATATTGATGGGAGAATTGAATAGTTTTTTATGACTATATTAAGTAATGAAGACCCTTCAATTTATTCTTTGTTATATCAATTACGGAAATTAAGACAAATCTAATAAAAAATATTCTAGTCTAGCTATGTATATACCTACTTAATTAATACTTTTTCTAATTGTCTTTATAAAATTATGGAAAACGGATATATGTCCGAATATGCCTGTATTATTTTCAAAAACATCAAAACTTAACAAGAAAAATACCCAAATAAGTTGTTGAGTATGTTTTCTTTTTTATGAAACTTCATAACATCCTCATTCAATCGAAACAAACAATATACCAACAATAATCTGACGAAAGATTTGAATAAACTAAATACTATGAAAACAAAAGGAAGTTCTTTTATCTGTTGAATAATTTCTGTAAGAGAGAAAAAAATCATATGAAATACACAAATACATCTACAATGGTCTATTACTATCATGAAATCATTAGATTGACAAGTTTATTTTTTACTTAGATTTGTTTTTATTGTCTATGAAATGGCAATCTATAAAAACACAGAATATACTTCATTTAATTCTAAGCATATCATATAATTTCATAGACAGTGATTTTTTCAGTAACTAGAAACAATTATCTATTTCATTGATCAATACTCATGAATATTTAAACAAACTGAATAGATTTGATCAATAAAAGCATTTAGTTTTTGGAATTTTCAATGAACAAAACAATTCTGTTTTTTCTTATATTTCTCAATTTTCATGATTCAATTGATATGATCAAATAACCAATTTCACTTGCGCCTTGTGACAAGCGATACATTGTTCAGGTGGCAAGAAAAAATTGTCACAAAATGAAGTAAGACCACGACATTCCTCTTGTCTTTACGCATTACATTAGATTACGTTCAAAAGAAAGTGAAATGTGTAAAAATGATAGTGCTTATAAAATCTAAACTCAATTCATTCTTTCTACTAACATATTATCGTATGCAGTTTAGTATAAAAAACTATTCCCAAAAGCTAGAAATAGTATCGTTTTTGTCTCACTGTTTTCTATTCATAATCAGTAAAATGAGTAATTTTTTTGCCTGTAGATAGACGTGGAAAACAAAAAAAAACAACAATAATATATACTGAATAATCAGCTCTATATTTTGGGAGGAATTCATGACTACTGGTGCATGTCCCTCAACATTCTTTTTTTTATATATCCACAATCACGAAATGATTTATATTCATCACTATTTCTCTGAATTTGTGAATGCAATTGAATACATATAAAAGTCAGTAATACAGGTTATTGATAGTTTGTTGTGATATTTACAGAACGTGCTTATCGAAAAGATTTATTTTATACAGTTATCCTTCATAATAAGTGAATGATAGTTACTCCTTTATTACATTTATTGTCTACTCATAATTGATACATATGACCAAGAAAATTTAATTTTATCTTATGGCAAATTTTGATGATTATACCCATGTCAATATCTCAACTATTCTTAAAATGAAGATCACATTTTCTACAAAGTTAATATGTTCAATGAATCAGGCTTTGTAATCGAACGAGAAGTCTTCATTAAAATCAACTCGAGTTGATGAATTAACTTGTCTTAGGTCCTTATATAAAGATAAACCATTACAGTACACTAGAAGTTTGGTTATGTACGTGAAACTAAGAAATGTTTAAGTTTTTTATAAAACAGAAAAGAAAGGCAATAGTTGATAATTACTTTCTATAGGTATCATCTAATAAATTATAAAATTTTCTGATTACATTTTCTCTTTCTTTTGAAATTTAAAAAGAAAAACAAGGTTAAGTTACTCATACAATTTTACGTTTCCTTTTATCTATCAAAAAAAAGTATGTAAGGCAGAGTGGAAAAAAAAACTACTAATTCTAAAAATTCATTTTTGAGACAAAAACATTTTATATTCCGAAGTCATTATATTTTGGATTTATCGATAAATAAATACTTGTTCGACTACCCTCACTTATAGAGAAACGTCAATTTTTTTTTGTTTTTCGTTTTGCTAGGATTTCATCAATCAATCAGTTTCATTTTGTAGAAGATATTTTGGAAAATAAAATGCTATAACATGAGAAGATAGAAAGATAAATTAAAACAACAACTATCATCGAAATGATAAAAAAGGTACTTTTTGAAGAAAAAAACATTTCTTTAAAATTTCTTTCGTTTGTCATCGACATTTCAAGGATGTTTTATATTTTTGAGATTTCGAAAAGTTTTATGAGCAAAGACAAAAATAAAAACTTTATCTTTCTTCTAAAAATGAAGCATTCATTCATAATAGGGAAATGAGTTAGGAAAATAATTTCTTTTTGTAAAAACAAACAAGACACCAGAGTGTGAATGACTATTGTATTGTATGTTATCATCATTCGAGTATACCAATTATGATGATTTTAATAAAAGAAAAAGAAAACAATATGCAGAGAACTTTGAACAATTTTCATTTAAACTTGAAAATAAAATAGAACCATCTCTTATAGAGATCGACAAATGTCATGATATTTCTATAAATATTATCTTAGACGATAATGTAATTATGTAATAACAAAGAAAAAAAACTGAAAATAATTAGCACTAGTTTCTTCTGACATATAAAATTTATTGATAATACTTTTCATTTTAAATAACTATTTATAGAATAATTCTACATGAATTTAATAAACCAAGATTTCCATATGTCAAATACTCATGATCTCGAATGATGGTATAGTTAGACGTAACAAAGTCAGAAAAACAAAAGAAATATTGCCGTGAAAAATGGTCTGAAGGACATGCTTTATTGTAAAATAAAAAAATCTATAGCATTCTTAATACCATCATAATAAAGATTGTCAGTATCACTGTTGAATTGAAATTGTTTTGACTTGTTTCAAAATATTCATTTTCTATGAGAAATATACTATAAGTATATCAAAAACAAAATAATCTACTCGTATATTGTAATGTTCAATTATTATAAAACTATATTTACATCAAACTAATCGATTCAACTCATTTTGTGTAAAAAATAAAAGAACATGTTGATCGTAAGTGTTTGGACATCGAGAAATGTGTCCTACATAAGATCAAGTATCCTTTTTTGTGGAGAAGATGTAAAAAATACGTATAACATAATGAATATATGAGTCAGAATTATTATATCTTTCATTGAGATAGTCAAAGCCAAATTCATAAAAAAAATGTAGGTACCGTTAATCTACGTAAGAATGAAAGAGAGACATATACTATAGAACTACATAAATTAATGATTATACGATTGGTATTTTTATTCTCATCCACACAACAGAATTTTCTATTTTCAGAGAATTGATAGATGATTTCAAATTCTTTTTTTTATCAAGAGAGAGTAGTTTATTTTTCATCGAGTTATTTTTGTTTCGTGAGACTTTTCATAAAAATGAAATATTCATCCAAAGACAGGAAGGATGACTCGAAAAAAAACATGTTCTTTTTTGTTTATGTTTCATAATTTCGATTGATAATCGGCCAAATTAGTTCATATTTGCCTCGTTTCACATGAGAAGATAGAGCAAAATGAGACGAACATTTTCTTGTTTGAGGAACAATACTTGAAAACCTACTCGAGAAATACTAAAGGTTTTCAAAGTTCTCTCCAGTTGGAATGATTCGAATCACCCTAACTGGTGTAATTCAGATTACTATCTCAAGGTTCTCACGATTTTTATAAAAACTCTAGAGATAAATTTTGTTCGATGTAAGATAGTTGAACAATCATTGAGATAAATCAATTTTTTTGAATAGTGATCTGCGTGATACCAAATGGTTACATTCACTATTATAAAATCATCTCATGTTATTGTTAATTTTATTTTCATTGTTACTTTTTTTAAATGCGAAATGACAATATCATAATGAAGATTTCTTATAGCAAAACAAAAAAATAGCTATCGCTACTCGGCTTTTTCAACGAAGATTTAAGTGTAGTATCTGTTCTCCTCAGTTTGAAAGCCAGTGCTGATTTCATTAGGTTTAGGCTCTTTCACGCGGATTTTTGAATATCGGTTGAGACCATCCTAGTTCATCCAGAGTTATGCCATGAATCGTCTCAAAATTACAGTGTCATCTGGTTTGCTTGCTTTGTGTATGATGGAATGATTTTCGTTATCTGATAGAACTGTTCAACACATTACCCTTCGCTAAAAATTGGCAGCATGGAACTGTAGAATTAATATCAAGTTACTTTGTAAACGAGAACGACTAGCTAATATTTTATACTCACATTGAGCAACAATAAATACTTCTATTATTCGTTGTTCGTAGACCAAGAAATTAATTTGATTAATATGAATCATGAGCGAGGTTGAATACATGTTAGCTAATTATATTCAGAATGAATCTTGTCAAACAATCAAGTTACTTATGAAATTATAATTTAAATATCAATGTGGGAAAAGAATTTACAAATATCTCCATTTGAACAAGGCTTTTTTCCATAGAAGTCTCTTGTATTTGTCTATCCATATAAATTATTTTATCATATTTGCAGCATTGTATCATAGGTTTCTTAATAATTTGTTTGTCGGAAATTCTTAAGTTTTCATGGAAAACATATTGTAGTCGATATAACACAAGTGAAAGTACAGTTGACTTA